AGGGGGCCGGGGGGGGCCGCCTGGGTTCCCGGCCCGGGGAGCTACCCGATTCATCCATGACCCCATCGCCGCTAGCTCAATGAACCGGGAGTGAACGTCCCACAAGGAGCCGGAACGCGCGCCCCTTGGGCACGTCTGGGCCCAGCGCCACCGGCCGGTTTCTTGGACACGCCCTTTCCGGGGGGCCTTGGCCCTCACGTGGGTTCTACTGACCCGCTGCCTGGCTCTGTCCCCAGCTGCCCCATGCCGACAGCGGGTCTGCCCAGCTGCATGGCGCGTGGGGAAAACCTGGGCCCGGCAGGGACGGTTCTATAGAGAAATTTGTTTATTCTCTCTCCCAGCCGGGCAGGTGCCGGCAGCCAGCAGGAAGAATCCAGGTGTGAGGGGGTTAAATTAAAGGGACAGTGCTGTGGCACCATTGCCTAGCAGTTAGTGCGCAGCCCTGCAGTGGGCCTGATCCGCTCCTCCAGGGTGGGCGCTTCCTCTCCAGGCCGGGGGAGGGGGAAGGGGAGGATGGGCCGGTCCGTCCCAAGGAAGCAGGAATTCATCTCTCCTGTGACGACAGGAAATCTCCCCAGCCAGGTCTCCCCAGCGCCAGCAGCAGACACCTGAGCCGTGAGGCTGGGAATAGGCGGCTTACAGGGCCCCTCCCCCCCACTACCCAGCCGGGGCTGGATGCCATGCTGTCTGGGGTCGGCAGGAATTTCTCGGGGGCTGCAAGAGCCGGCGGGGGCCCCCCAAGTGCCGGGCAGAGGGCTGACGGCTCACCAGGGGCTGTCCTTCCTCTGCTCCGTGGCGCTTGCCAACAGGATCTCCAGGGGCAGGTTTAACAGAGTGGGGAAACTGAGGCACCCAGGGCCAGCTCCCCAGGCCTTGCTCCTCTCTGGTGCCCTCCGCAGGCCTGGCCTGGGACACCCTCCTGAGAGCTGCAGGGCTCTTCCCCGCCGGGGGAGCCCCGGCTGGGGAGCAGCCTGCCCCGGAGACCTGCCAGGGGCCTCAGGTCGGGCAGGGCTGGTGCCAGGTCTGCTCCCGGACAGGGGCTCTGGGCCCTTGGCAGACGTGTGGCCATGTCCCGCTCGGCCCGGGCCGGCTGCTGCCTCCCAGGTGTTTGGTCCCGATGGAGCCCTGGGGGGGAAGGGGGGTGTCTCCCTTTTCCCTGAACGGATGCGAGAGCGGCCCCAGGGGGCTGGGGTTGGGCCCAGCTCTGCCACTGCCTTGCCCTGTGACCCTGGGCATGTCCCTTCCCCCTCGGGGCCTCAGGCCCGTCTGAAAAATGGGCATCATGTGCCTGATCCGCTTGGCCACCTGCCCACCCCAG